AAGAAGACTAGAGCTGGGGGGTGGCCCAGGTGGCTATGAAGCCCAGCATATTTCCTCTAGAAGCAGATGGACTGTGGGTACTGGACAGAGACCCTGCCTACCCTGACTCTTCTCTGAGAGTCTAGGATGAAGCTCTAACTATTCCCCAAATTATGCATGTTGTGTACTAGAGACCCCAGCATTAAAAAAAAAAAACAACCAATTAACCCCCCTCCCACCAAACCAGGTATGAGTTAGAATACGAGCACCCCACCCCCACCATCCCCATCATCATGGCCAGTGAAGAGGTGGTTTATCTTTCTTCCATCGTCTTCCCCTCCGACCATAGTGGTGCAAGGGTTCAAGAGGTCAGAGGAAACTCTTAGAACTGGATTGAGTAGGAAAGTTTTAAATTGGACTGAGTTTGAAATCAAATTGACCAGTTAGTTACTGGTTGGACCCTCGCTGCTGAGATGAGAAAGGGGGATTTGACAGAGGTTGGTTGGATAAAAAGTCTTCATGATTCTACATTTCAGTGAACCAGTCATCAAAATTTTAAAGGACATACAGTGTCCTCTGTGTTTCAGGCACTGTTAGATCATCAAAATTTTAAAGGACATACAGTGTCCTCTGTGTTTCAGGCACTGTTAAGTCTTTGCATCTACTAGCTTATTTAAACCTCAAAGCGACCTTGGAGAGTGGATGCTATCATTATTTCCATTTTACAGATGAGGAAGCTGAGGAACAGGCAGGTCAAGTGACTTGCCCAAGATCACAAGGTGAGAGCTGGTAAATAGTCAAGACTCAAATTTGACAGTATGCCATGCTGCATCTTATCAAATTTAATAACATGCAGGCCAGTCAGAGCATGTTTGTGGACAGATCTGGGCTGTGGGCTTCCCCTTTGAGGCCCGTGGTTTAAATATGAGCTGGAAAGTTCTGTGGGGGAGAGGAGGACAGGGGGGTGGGGGAGGAGTACTGAAATTGTCCAGGCCCATGGCCCACTTAGAATCATGGAATCTCACAGATGGGCAGGATCTTTATCCCATTTTACAGATGGAAAACCAAAGGGAGGACAGGACTTGCCCAAGGTCACCATGGCCCGGGGCCCCTGAGCATCCCTCTCTTCTTCATAGGCTTCTTGCTTGAATTTATATCCCGGGAACCAAGAAGTCTACAGGATGAAACTGTGCTCTTGTGGTTCTAATCTGAAGGAGAGGGAGGACACCCAGGGCCAGGGCCCCCTTCTCTTGGGGATGCCTGTCTGACCCAGGAGTGGGTTAGGCAGTAGGAGACACTGACCTCACCTGGCCTAGCGCTGTCTCTGGCAGCGGCGAAGAGGCTGGGCGCTGACCAGAGTGCTGAACCTGTATGGTGCCTTCCTCTTCGTGCTCTGACTACCTGAAGGGAGAGAGGGAGGTGGAAGGGACTTTGATCACTTGGGGACCAACCTGTTTGGGGCAGTTTTTAGTGGGAAAGCCTTGGAGCTAGGAATTCTGTGGTCTGCATGGCCTTGGGGAGGTCATGTAACTGCAGTGGGCCTTTTTCATCTGTTTGATGAGGAGAGTAGCTCCCATCCTACTAAACTCAGGAGGCAGAGGTGAGCATCATTTGGGGACAGTGCCAGGTGAGAGCCCTGCACAGAGCCCAAATCCATCTCTGGGGCCCAGGGAAGGTGCTCAGGAGCTCACCATAACAGAGGGACTTTGTGGGCCTGTTTTTTCCTCTGTGTAATGGGTCCTGTGCTGGGTGGTTGTAGATGCCCTAACCTGGGTGCCCTGGGCACTGTGGCTGTATGTGAAAGTCCTCAGATATATGAGACACACTTTACAAACGGGACTGAGTTAGGAGTCTTAGACCATCCTGGAGTTATGCTCCTGTCTCACACAAGTCCTGACTTGTTTTCCAGCTTCAGGAATGGGCTTTGCCCAGGGATCCATGCTCCTCACCTGCACAGGGTACAGCAGTTCTACAGAAAGAGTACTGGCTTAGAGACAGGCCGAGCCAGGTTCCCATCACGCTTCTACCATCCCTAGAGGGCAAGTCCAGCGCCTCAACCAATGCTGCTCAGCATTGTGTCAGGGGTGGCTAAGATACTACCCAAGACTAGGAAAAGCAGCACTCTGAGTACCAGACAAATGCTTCTTTCCAGCACTGGAGGCAGCTTAAGGTCCCCTTCGTCTCGCCCATGAGCCCCCAGCCTTATCTACCCATGTGGCCTCAGTAATAATAGCTGGTACCCACTGAGCTCCAACTGTTCATAAGACACATTATCTGGCTGGACCCTGCAACAATCCCGAAGGCAGAGGTGATGCTCACTTTGAAAATAAGGCCACACGCCAGCAAAGGTAGGGGCTGGGAGTCACACTCATGCCTGCCTGATTCTGAGACATCTGCTTGGCTTTGAGCAAATTACCGGACCTTTCCAAAGTCTCTTTTTCTGGTCTAGAAAATGAGGATAGTATCTCATTATGGTTATTATTTGAAGATATAATGTATGATATTGCTCAAGGGTCTATGCATATTTAAAACATGAAACACATTTGACTCACAGAGGCAAGGGAATAGAGCTGTTGGGGGGGAAGCAGAGTAACTTAAAATGAGGGGGCCCTTGCATGCACTAAAGTCATGGTGTGCCACAAACCCAGAAGACTTCATCCTTTGCACCTGATATCCAGGTGAAAGAAAACGTTGTAGTTTGTACACTAGAGCATCTTAAACTTTAATATACACACGAGCCACCCGGGAGCTTGTTAAAATGCACTCTCTCATTTAATAAACCTCGGGTGTAGCCTGAGATTCTGTATTTCTAACAAGTTCCCAAGTGCTGCTGCTGGTTTGAGTAGCAAGAATGTAGAAAGTATTCCCTTCCCTTCTCAGTTCTCACACTTGCCTGATAATGTAAATCACCTGAGGAACTCATAAAACTGGCTTTAAAGGCCCTTCCCTGAGACCTGGATCTCGGTCTGGGTTGGCCCAGGGTGTAGTGTACTTTGAGCAAGCACTGCAGGAGACGGCTTGGCTCAGGTGAGCTGGGGAAGCATGGCTGTGGTGCAGACAGACACAGACCAGCTCACCAGACCTCTGTCCCAATGCACCTTCCTGAATGGAGAGGTGGTGTAACCTCCTGATCTCTATACCCAAACATTTTTGTTTAAAAAATGCTAGTCATTTCTGTTTACTGCAGCTGAACCCCAGGACTAACAATTCAGCAGGACCCCCCGCCACTCTCCTCCCTCTGAACCCCCATCACACTGTCACTCTCACAACGCTTACCTTATGCGGCTCGCATGGAACAGGGCCTTTCACGCGGTCGGTCCCCCAGTCTCCTTAGATCGCCTCAGCGGAGACTGGGCCTTCCACGTGGTACCTCCCACCCAGCCCTGCCACACGTGGAATACTCAGGCCTCATGATCATTGCTGCTCTTTGCATCCTAGGGCCTGTCTGTAAGTCACCTGGGACTCGACCCCCATCCTCACTGCCTGCTACTCCTGCCTTTTGACCCACCTTCCAGGTCAGATTCAGGGCCAAGCACAGTTGGGGTGACTCAGGTGTGCCTTGTGGTACCCCAAGGACAAACAAGAGTTGGGGGCTTGGCTGCCTGCCTTTGAATCTCTCCCATGGTGCAAAGTCGGTAGTGGCCCACAAGCACATGTTTTATGACAGAAAGCTGAGGATATGCATGTGGGGGATCTTTCCTCTCCTTGGTGGTGGGACCTGTCTTACTGGAACTGCACCAAAGGTGACAGAGGATATTAACTGTCCCACACATTCTAATGTTCCTTCTGTGAGGAGAGGCATGGATCAGTAACAATGTCATTACGACAAAAGGGGAATCCGTGAAGGAAGCTAAGTTCCAGAATAAGGTTGTGTGGAACTTGCTACCCGTTTTCAAGCTACGTGTCAACAGGTACTGACCATCTAGCACAGGAATATAAAGCCTCCTTTTGAACATAATACATTCTTGGAGTTGAGGTCTCAGGAGACTCATGACTTCATAATGGAGGCTGACAGCAGCTCATGACTGGGTACATGCAATGAGAAACAGCCAGCTCAAAAACTGGGAGGGAGAAAAGGCAAAGAGAAGGTGGGGATGTGGGGCTGCCATGGATGGTTGTACAAGTGGCCTATGGCACTTCACCAAAAGACAGGATTTGAAATATGACCTTTATTTTACTTGTAAGCCACCAGATAAGCAAAGAAATTTCAAACCAAGCAAAAGTGATGCCATGAATGTCACTAGACCTGGAAAGGTCATGGGAACTTTCCTGCAGACAGCACCTGTTATCACCTCTAGTCCCAAAGTCAAACCCAACTCCTCTGTGGCTCACCAGCCATGGCCATCCCAAAGTGGTTATTACCATAGCCAGAGTTGGTTCCCCAGGGGGACTGGCTCTGGTCTCTGCCTTGTTTGTCCAAGGTCGAAATTATTTTTAAAAAGATGACCAAACCACAATGAGCTACCACTTCACACCGACTAGGCGGGCTATACACTGACTAACAAGTACTGGCAGGTTGAGGAGAAACTGGACCCCTCATATCCTGCTGCTGGGAATGTAGAATGGCACAGCCGCCTTGGAAAACAGTCTGGCAGCTCCTCAAAAAGTTAAACATCAAGTTACCATATGATCTAGCAAGTCCATTCCTAGGTACATATCCACATTTCCATACAAAAACTTGTATACAAATGTTCATAGCAACGGTATTCATAACAGCCCAAAAGTGAAAGCAATCCAAATGCCCATCAGCTGATAAATGGTTAAAGAGTGGTACAGACAATGGAATATTCTTCAGCTCTGAACAGGAATGATGTACTGATATATGCTACAACATGGATGCACCGTAAAAACATTAAGCGAAAGAAGCCAGATGCAAAAGACCACATATTATGATTCCACTTATGAGAACTATCCAGAATAGGCAAATCTTTAAGGCCAGAAAATAGACTCGTGGTTGCCTGGGGCTGGGAATGGAGAGTGACTGTTAATGGATACGCGGTTTCTTTCTGGAGTGCTGAAAGTGCTCAGGAACTAGGTACAGTGATGGATGCACACTGTGCATACACTAAAAACCACTTAAATGCACACCTTTAAAAGGGTGAACTTCATGAGTATGTGAATTATATATCAATAAAGTTATGAAAAAAGAACTAGGTTAGTAAGTGCTAACATTTATTAAGGCTCCAACCTTTTGGGTTCCAAAAAACATACACCTGAACCATTCCCATTTGCAACTTGGTGATTACTCGTGGCTGAAAGGAGGGATGTGGCCCGACTGAAGTTCCTAAAAGCACCCACAGAATTAAGACTTCACCAGTGTTACTCAATGTCCTTGATGCAAGGAGACCCACATACAAAAAATGGTTGACTCTGCAGATGAATCACTAAAGTTTCTGTTTTCAGAGAACAGAATTCTGTATCAGACTATCCTTTCGACTTCTGCTACCAGTAAATCTAGGTGGCAAATTTATTGTTTCAACCTTGTCTTCTCTTTGAACCAGGGTCCTAAGAGTGATCTACCCCTTCCCTGCTTGTCAGATGTTCTCTGGTCTGATATTCCTTTAAAAATGCTTCCTTTTACAGTAAAGGATATTTTTATGAGCAAATTTCCCCAAGTCCTTTGGGTAGCAGATATAACCCAATTTCAAAACAGAAACATTCCACCCATTTGCTGACCCTCGAGGAAAACTCGGAGTGACTGCATTTGTACCTCTGCCTGACCTCTGGGTCCTTCTGCAGAGCGCACGTTCTCAAGGACTCAGGTGGTCTTTTACTAGATCAGTGCTTGAGATGGGGTCTGCCAGAAATGCCCAGTGAGCCCACTCAGGCTAGCCTCCCATCCAGGCCCAGCCTCCATCTTAGGCTGACCCTGAGCCTATGTGCAGGTTTGTTTTGCCCCTAACCCACTTGCAGGCAGGGCAGACAGGCAGTTCCAGGCTATAGCACATTCACAGAATCCTCAGAAGGGCTCTGGTAGCCCTCTGCCCATAGGCAAATATGTCCTAATTTAGGGGAAGGGGAAGGAACCCAAGGAGCTGAGAAGTGAGAGGACTCAACATGGTTGAAATGCTAGTTGTAGAGCCAAAGTGTCTAGTCCTTTGACCTCTGGCCTCTGAGCCTGGTACTCTATGGTGCTCTTTTCACTCCAGCACAAGGCTGGACCAGCACGTGGTCCATCACTGACGTCTGTCAGGCCTTGGGCTGAAAAGGATCCGGAGAACACCAGTCAGGGGGTGAAATGCCTTTCTGGGTTGTTTCGTGCTTGACTAGTTCTTCCATCCACCTCAGCCAGTGGCTTCCAGGCTGGCCTCCCTGCTCCTCCCAGGGTTCAACACCATGCTCAGGTGGAGCCCGTGCTCCTGCGCTCATCTGCCCCCACAAGGGGTGAGAAGCAGAGTTACAGACTCTGTAGGTACCACACGAAGCCTTGGACCTTCATTTTCCTTCTGCCCCAGTTCCCAGGGGTCACCATACACAGAAGCAGGCATCTGAAGATTTTAGAGTAGGAAAGGCACCTGATTCCACAGGTGGGCACAAAAGCCAGAGAGGGGGAGGGACTTAGGGCACTTAGTAATTTAGTGGTAAGAGAGATTAGCCTCTCAGGTCTGTTCTTTTTATAGGCTGCCTTTGCCCAGGCACAGACGGACTCAGGACTGGGTCAGATAGGCGACCTGGAGGATTCTGCCCTCCATAGAAGCATGCAGTCTTTCTGTGTCTGCCTGTGCGAAACCATCCTTGTGGCCTATGGCATTTCCAGTCACTCATTTTCATCCATGCAGGCACACTGGGACCCATCCTGGTGATGTCAGGAGCCAACAGCAATTTATGAAGGGAAGGTGCCTGAGAAGTAAGGATGGGCCCTGGGCAAGAAAGGAGTCATTTAGCCCCACAAAGATTCAAACTCAGAAGTCTCATAATTGGAAGGAACTGTGCAGCAAAGAAAAGTGGGACACGGCAACATGACTTTTGTATTGACATTTGGTTCTTAATAATAACATCCAAAATGCGTTGTTCTTTTAGCGCTGCATTGGGTCGAGGGTATATGTTGCCAGAGTCTCCCTTGGAAAGTGGGAAAGAGCTGGTGGGGAGAGAAACACTGATTTCTCTTTGGGACCTATATGAAGCCAAGCAGAGAGCTGCAGCAGGTGCCTTGGCTCTGACAAGGGGTAGGGAGGCGATCCCAGCCAGCCTGCAAACACGTGGGCAGTGTCCCTTGCCTCCAGCCCGCAAGAATTCGGTTGCTGACGGGGCCAGAGCTGGCAGCTCCAGGAGAGTGGAGAGAAGGCTGGGATGTCACATTCTTGAGGCTTTTACAGGTACATGTCATCGTAGCCCGGTGGGGGGAGATGGTCTGGGTTAGGTCTGGAATGGAAAGAGGGGCTGGTGAGTTGCAGCGATGGAGGGCAAGGGGCACACTGGCGGACAGGCCCTGAGCTGAGGGAGCCTGCACTCCGGAATGATGTGGTGCTTCGTGGAGTTTAAGAGCGTGCACTCTAGAGTCAGACAAGCTGGGACTGAATCCTGACTTCTACCTTGGGTAAGTTGCTTTATCATTCAAGGCATCGATTTCTGTATCTACAAAATGTGGACAGTAATATCTACCCATGAGTGTTGATAAGGATCCAGTGAGCTCCTACACCTGAAAAACTTCCAGTGAGTGAGTAGCTCCTCCTCTGGGTCCTCCCTGAGGGGAGCCGGGGGAAGGGTAGCATCGAGGAACGGGGAGCTCCTGGAAGCTCAGGGGCACCAGGCAGGGCCTGGACGAGGCTCCACTCTCTTGGCCGTGGAGGATGGAGCTACTGGCATCTGCGCTGCGTCAGATACCTCCTTCCCGCAGCGCTGAGCTGAGCTGTCATCAGGTCCTACTTCTCAGCATACCTGAGTGTATACCTACCCAGCGGGGCTGGTCCCAATGGGTCCAAAGGGGTCAAAGCGCGCTCCTGGAGGCACAGCGCCGGGAGGAAGCCGGTTTGGGAGGCCTGAGGATGGGTCAATACGTGCTCTTGGGAAGCCCGATCTCAGGGGATCCACAATCATGCCACCTCTCCGATACCTGAGGCAAGAAGGAAAAATGGGTCCACAGGTGTGGCAGGGGACTATTGGAGAAGAGGTGAAGGAGGCGAGAACAGACTAAGAATGCCTGGGATAATCCTTCTGGCTGGTGGTGGCTCAAGCAGACACGTGGGGATGGCTGCCTGAGCACCAGCAGGAAGTGGGCAGAACACAGAGAGCACACCTTCCCTGGCAAGCACAGTCTGGACTTTTCGCTCTCCAGGCTCCGAGCCCACAAAATTGAGATTCCCACTATGTCCTACGCCCAAGGGGGACAATCTGGTCAAGCACAGGTGCCAGAACTTTCCAAGGTCAATGCAGAACCATCACAAGGTTCTGCAGGGCACTACTTTAGGTCTAAGGCGTAACAATAGCATTGAGACATTTCATGCTGCCAGCTTTTCTGCTGTTCACTTAAAGAACCTCAGGGCAATCTATGGTCCACTTGCGGTCTCCTGTCTGGCTCCTGACAGCCTCTCTCTCATAGAGTTCCATGGACTCGACACCTCATGTGCTCAAACTAGGACACATGAGCTGACATTCCCCTAAACTTTGAGGTCACTGTTCAAGCTTAACTTCGTACTTATGTGACTTCATCACTATCTGAAAATCAGATGGTCAAGCTGAGTCACTTTGCAGCAGAGGTTAAAATCTAGTGTGAGTCATTCAGGGAAGACAGTGCATAGCTCAGGCTGTAATGACTTTACTAGGTGTGTTACAAGAACCATTCAGAGCTTAATGGGGATTAGAGACTCCTCTTATCAAGTGAGGTGACATGTGAATAGCCTTGAGATGTCCTAAGGTCTGCAGCCTACCGTGTACTCTTCAGTCCAGACGTGATAAACCCACGTGGGATCCTGCCATCCAAGGGAGGGAGGGCTGCTGTCATCCACAGGGCAAAAGGGGACAGAAATGACACAGGAGCTGCCCACTAAGCTTGCTTGGCCCCTCCTCAACATTCAGAGCTCTCCTGCACCGCTCCAGGCATGGCAGAGCTGAGCAAGTAGCAATAACTTCTTAGCTGCTCGGCAACAAACTGTCTCCTTCACCCCAAAGGAAGACTGATGAAAAGCTCTAAAATTAGAAGATGAGCTAGGGCTGAAAAGCCAGGAGAGAAAGTTGTGGTGCTGCCACCTCCCCAGGGGTACTCACCCAAAGGGGTCTAGGTCCTCTCCCCCGACAGCAAATGGGCCCAGGGGATCACACCTGAAACAAACAAGGGACAATTACCGTAATTCCCAGAGCAGCCAGGCACCTGGGCTCCCAGAGGACTGAACTGGACACCGGGGTGGGGGTGGGGGGGTCACAAATGCAATCCCAGGCTTGGGGACAAGGGAAACCCCTGCATGAGACCCTAGCACAAGGGGTATTGCAGAGTGGTTCTTGGCACAGACCAACACTGACAACATTACAGTGGCTGAACAGGAAGCTACAAGACGCGGAGGACCCCAATTCTATACGCAGAAAACTACTAACAGTGGCAACCTTCACATAAGTTTTATTTGATTCACACCTTTCTCAAACTCCTAAGCTTTGGATAAAGAACCAAGATCTTTTAGACCAGAAAATTATTCTAAAACCAAAAGCTCAGGTTTAAAAGCTTCCAAGGGTAGAGTAAGATGGGCACTCACATTCAGTGAGCACAGTGCTCCTCAACCTTTTTTCCATTACGGTCCCTGTGTGAGATCTTCATAGCATGAGTACCAAGTATCTGTTTATGCACTGAAGCCCACTGGAGGGCCACAAACCTGTAACCACTAAAATTTTTTCACACACACCCCCATTGCCCTCATGGACAATGCATGAGCTAGGAGCATAGATGGAGATTGTATTATATAATATATATACTCACAAAATAGCTCTCTTTCAAAAACTTTATATATATATATCTTTATGTTCTTTGATTCAACAATTTTATATCTAGGTATCAACCTTAAAGAAAGAACACTTAATTCAAATTAAAATATCACCATAAAAACTAATCAAGGGAACCAGCTGGCCTAAATGGGGACCAGTTAGGTACATTATGGCATATTCCTAAATGCAGCCAAGGAAACAATGTTCCTAGAATGTTTTAAAATGATGTGTAAAAATGTTTATGCTCAAGTGTTAACTGTGGGAGGAAAGGGGATTATCAATAGCCTAGGAAATCAACCGTGAAAAGTGTGGGGGTGTGTGGATAAATAAAACTAGAAAGAAGCATACTGAAAATATAAGCAGTGGGGAGTTTCTTCTATTTCCTATTTTTTTCTATAAAGGATATGGGTAAGAATGTAATAAAGTAAAAAAGATTTGGTATTTTAAAAAATGGTCTTTGGAATCTGCGTGGAGCCCCAGCCAGCAATCCGAACCTGACAGTTGTGGGGCATGGCAGGTTCTCGCCAGACCTCAGGAAAGCCTCAGAAAGAGCCCCTAAGCTTACAGGTAAGAAACCATTAATTAAAGAACTGGGATAAATCCAAAAGTAGGTGCTTCTCCAGTCAGTCCTACCTAATGGGCTGGAAAAGACAGTGGATCTAGGTAGACTAGGTTTCCAAGGGAAGGTTACTGCTCCCAAGCTATGGCTCATGAAGTGGGCAGTCAGAGTCTCTGGTGCCTCCAACATCCTGCCTCACTGGACAGACCAGGCGGTGCCAGAGGGCAGCAAGCATTTTGCCTGTCTTCACAAACTGCCTTCAGAGCAGCAAGCAGAAGGGGCTTCTAGTGGCTATAAAACTGCCTGGGAGAGCAGAGCCTTAATGGCGCCTGAAACATGCAGCCATCTCTGTTTCCTCTCCTGGGCACAGCGGGGGAGGGAGAAGTGGAGAACAATGGTGCCTAGAAAGGCGGCTGCAAGGCCAGCCCCAGTAATGTGTGTGCTTGAAGCTGTTACTACACATCCTTTGTGCCTGCGCTAAACCCAGCCTCGCTGTAACACATGCGCACTTCAGAGAGCTCATGATGTACATGCGCAGGACTTACTTTAAAATAGTCTCTGTTCTGGATGTGCTGAGGCACTAGGGTTTACAACAAGATGGTAATTTTTGCACATGGTCTCTGAAATCAAGCCCCTACTACTTCATCTGGTAATCAACTGAAGGAAACTGTGCTGTCCATTAACCTGTGGGCCCAACTTCTTGGCTGGCCCACAGTATGTCCCAGCTCCAAAAGGGGCCCCTCTAAGAGATCTGAAGTGAGCCTGGCCACACATCCTCCTTTTATGCTCCCCTCTCCTTTCACATAAAAACAACACTCCTCTCCTGGACACACAACTCTGGTTGGTGCTATTCTAACAGCAGAGGTGCTCTGGTGAACTGGAAAGGCCTCAGGACTGAAGAGATGGGCTCTGGACTCTGGGTGGGAAATTATCTAGCTGGTTGGCAGGGATCTGTCACCAAACCTCTGCATCTCAGTCTTTTAAGATGTAAACCTAAGTGGTAACACTCACAGGGGCTGCTGCAATGGTGAAACACAGTATGGCCATGAAGAGACTTGTTGGCAGTTCAGAAAGGCCTGGAAGGACGGATTAACAGCAGCCACCACTATTTACTGTGAGCTTGCTTTGTGTCAGGCATTGTTAAATTTAGTTTTTATAAGATTAAATTTTTAAATTTAATTTTCTGAATAGGTAATGCATTCACCAATTTCAAAATCCCAGAATAAAAAAGGATCCATAATCTTAGGCAGGCTGTGTTTTGGAATTCAGAGCTTTTCATGTTTTATAAAGGTCAGACGAGTACATCTAATATGTATTGTGTAACACTCCGAAGCAGTACCCTGCACCCAATACCCTAATATTTCTGCAGAATGAATGAGTAGTCACAAGTGGGATAAATGAAAATATAAGGAGTTTCAGGCTCCTTTAGGTCAGGTTTTGCTACCAAACAAGGTTTGGGACCAACCTTATTTTTAAGGAAAACAAACAAGCAAACACACAAACAAAACACCTTGGTTTTCGGGTCTGATTTCAGAATTATAGTTAGAAGATTATGGACTCATAAAAGTAAAAAAACTCCTTCTCACCCTTCTCCCCCCACCAGCCTACCAGGTCTTCAGTTTCTTGTATGTCCTTCCAAAATACTCTCCCTATATGAGCAAATATGTATCTCCTTACCTTTTAAACAGATAAATTACCTAGCTCCCTTGTACATTATCTTATTTCATCTTTGCAGCAGCCCTCTGAGTATGTGAACTTGTTAGTTCAGAAAAACAACTGACAGTATATGTTGTCAATGATAAAATTCAAGCTTTCAAGTGAAAATTAGCAATTAGGTATTTATACTAGTAGCTTGATGGCTTCCCAATACTGATGCTGACAGAGCAGTAATATTAATGAGAGTGATTTTTTGATATTGTGTAATAAATTGTGTCATTTAGCAGATCTGCACATATCAGTGAACCAATATTTTCCAAACAACTGATACATGCTCTTCTAGTATCATGCATGTGTAAAAGATCCATTCAAAAGGCATGGCAGGCCAGTGGGTTTCAATGTAATAATGTATAAAGAATTCACTGATATGGATTCAGATTCCACTTACAACTAACCCTTAAAGAAACGATCACATGTCAAGTTCTGGTGAAATGCAAAGAATATGCACAATTACTTGAAAAGCTTATTACACTATTCCTCTCTTTTCCAAAAACCTTTAACAAACACAATATTACCACTTACAGACTAAACAGAAGCAGAAATGAGAATCCAGTTGTCTGATATGCCAGATATTAAAGCGATTTGCAACAGTGTAAAACAATGTTATTCTTCTCACTAATTTTTTTTCTGTTTTGGAAAATATAGTTATTTTCATAAAATTTCTTATTTCTGTTAACATATAATGGGTTTATTATTGTTATTTTTAAATTAATGAATAAATGTGTATTTTAAAATTTTTGGCTGTAATTTCTAATATGGTAAACACTGATAAGATATAACTCAAACAAGAGCTCCTTGGGGGTCCTCAATACTTTTTGAGTGTTAAGAGGGTTCCTCAGACCAAAATGTTTGAAATCTGCCAGCATAGGAAATATATAGCTCAATGAAGTTAAAAAACAATTATATATAGATGTTCATAGTGTGTAATTTAAAGTGAAAAATGATATGTTTAAAATACCCCAGAGGTTAGGCATATGACAACATAGCTGTATTATATAGTATCAGATACTAAAAAACGTATATTTAGTACTTTAGTTGATGAATTATGAAATTCTAAAAAGAAAATGTAGGAAACAAAATATTGGGAACATTAAAAAACATGTAAGATACAGATTGGGATTAAAAATGAATTTTGAAATGACAAGAGCTTTATATCTAAGGATTTATTTTTAGCAAAGCTGGTTAAGCATAGGAAAAATTGTTTTTTCAAAATGGGGAACAGGATTTGGGGCAGAGTCGGAGGACAGATGGAGCAAAGGGAAATGGGTTAGAACTGTAAGTAATAACAACAAAAAAGTTAGGCTTATATGAAAAAACAAAACAAGAACCCTACCAAAACCCAAAAAATCTTCCCTTACAGATGTACTGTTTTCAGTATTTCTTTCCTAGAGATCTTAGGAGTAGGAGAGATCTACTTTTCACCCTCAATTCTTCGTCACAATGGAATGTCCTCTCCATCTATACCAGCACCAAACCAGCAGATCCAGTCTCCTTTAACAAGCTCCGGGCACACCGCATCACACAGAGAAGCAATTCTCGTTAAGCCCAATGGCAGACATCCCAACTTCAGTTTGCATTTGGACATGTGAGATACGCAAGATGAGGGTGTGGAAGGTGAGGGGTGAGACACAGGACTGTGCCCCGTGGGTAGAGACAGAGGCTGCTGTTTCCTTCTGGGAGCATATGCCAAGCTTTTCAGGGATGGGGTAATTAACACCCTGCAGTACCAGATGGGCCTGCCGCTGAGTTGCTCTTTCCCTTCTCCAGCCCTAAAATCCCACCCCCAGATCAGGCATTTGAGGAAAAATCAGAAAGGTGAAAGTGTGAGTGCTTGGTTGCCCAGCAACATGGTGGGGGGGCTATAATAAAGGAATTGATGTCATTACAGACATCTGTGCTACAAAGAAAGGGGGCTGGCAAAGAGTGGGGGTGGAGGGAGAAGGAAGATCTGACAGGCTCAAGTCATTAGTGGCTGATAAAAGCCGCCTCTTCCAGCCATCTCACCCAGTTCAGTGTCCGAGTCCTGGGAGACGGGCTTCTTGAAAAAAACCTAACGGGGTGAAAGGAAGGAGAT